ATAAATCAAGGTAGCCGTTAACACTGTTAAATCATATATAAATCATCAAACAAAGGTAAATACAGTGTTTGAATAAAGGACTTAATAAATACATCGTGTAGCATAGCTCTCAACGAATGTATGTCCTGTAAATAAATGAATAAAGAAATTGTGTAATAAAATGCCTTTTAAAAGGCAAATGGGAAAACCCATAAAACAGCAAACGGCCACATAATGCAAAACTATTTAAAATTAAAACAGTAGAGAAAATCCGATCAGAATGACAAAATAAATTAAGCATCCACTGGAAGGAATCCCAATATCTGCAGATGGATCCGTTTCGGCCTTCCAGGCTTCATCACTACGTATTTCACAGAAGGTAGCAGACGAATGTGGGAACAAATATTTGCTATAGTTCATCACAATCTGGCTATTGCCAAGCCAGCCTTGAAGATCCAGGTGCAGGAATCATCTATGTATGATAATGTCTTCATATGTTTCGGCACTTTTCACATTTGTATGGCATATTTTGCGTCACTTGGATACATATTGGAATGAACTGGTAGCCCTGAATTGCTCTGTGATACAGACGTGTTAGCAAATGGTTCTTTGCGAGGTTTCTTACCAGGAAAGCATTTTATAATTGATGCAAACGTCTGCACCCTCTATTAGCCACAAGTCTCGAAATTTTACATTTTCTAAAGCTCATATCGTTGTACAGAGGATTTACTGGTGAGTTGAAGGATTAATTGCTAGTAATGACTACAAATCCATCCGAAGAATGCTTGAGCAACATTGAAGTTTCTGATGCGTTCTTGGAACTTATTGAGAGATATGAACAATTTTGTGAAGCAACCAGGTTAGGGAGTCATGGAGCAACAGCAAAGTTCTAGAAAACCTACATTGACCTTGTCCATATATATTTCCTATTGGATCGTGCGTGCAGGATGACTTGTACAGTTATGCAATTTCTGAGATGTGACCTGTGTTCTTTGCCACACATCGACCAAACTATGCCAGGTGGATGAGAAGATATCACCTAAAGCTCATCAACATGGATACTACTCATGCAGGAATTCATGAAGTGTTCGACGCTGGTGCTCTGTCCATCAAGCGTAATCATAGGTATGCATTTTCCAGAAGTGCTGTCGATCTGACATTAGAGCAGACGTTGAATAGAGACGCCGCCTCCAGACAAGGTGGAATTGCATCATTTACAAACGTAAGGAAAAGGTGGATGGTTACGCGGTCAGCCCGCGGTTCTATTGTTGGCTGCCTTTTTTAAATGGTTGGCCTGTCGGACAGTGATGAAATCACCAAGGAACTAAGACCAACCAGAAAAAAGCGAGACAATGAGAACCTTGGCAAGCTTCTTAAAGGAGTAGAGGATACCCTATATTTTTTTTAGAATAACGACAATAAGCTTTATTGTCTAACAACGGAGCGGGCAGCCTCTTCTAATGTGGAAAACCATATGCTTTCCATAGTTGAAAAGGGATCAGGTTGGTATAAAGAATTTGTAAACGAGTGCAAGGATAACCCATTACGTTTTGATGAAGCGTCGAAAAGTTAAGAATTTGCATGAAGACTAAAATAAAAGGAAAAGACAACACGATTAAGGAAGTGCAGTGCACACGAGATCTGTTTGGCAGACTTTGTGCCTTGCTGTTTCACAAAACATTGACTTGGAAAGTGTGCTATGTTATCCCTTGACACCTGTTCCCATTGACTCTGTCACATTGATGGTTCTATGAACAAAACAAGCAAGGCTGCGCTTTTGCAGACACTTGACAGAAAGATAAAAACAATGGAACATGAAAAAATTGAAGCAATTGAACCTACAAGAACAGAAGCAAAGAAACTTTAAGAACCTGCTTGTACAGATGTTGTCTTAATAGATGCAAGGTTCTTCTTTCGCACATTGGGAAATCTACCCACAACGTTTGGTGGCATTGCAAAAGCCATTCTTCAGAAGGCTTGCTCATAAATAGTCGGAACGTGCACATTATTTGTAGCACTTATACCGATGGTCCTTCTATCAAACAACTTGAACGCAAATCATGAGGAGATTGCCGTACCACATACTGCATTACAGGGCCATTTCAACAAAGACCTAGAGACTTCAATGGAGCTCTCTTGTCAGCTTCCTCCAAAGCTTCTCTATTAAGATTCCTCAAAGATGAGTGGAAAGGTGAACAATATGCAAAACTGTTGGAGGGACATACACTTTATTTTTCAATGGAAAATTCATGCTATAAATACAATGGAACATCAGGGATTGTGACCCAATGTGAGGTACCAGAATTAAGGAGGAGTATGCATGAGGAGGCCGACACCCGTATTATTCAACATATTGTTGCTGATATGTGACAAATCTCCAAACATAGTTGTTTGTTGCAGCGATACAGATATTTTTATATTACTCATTCATCACTCAGTTAACATTAAGGCAAATCTTTGGATGGACACTGGCACATCATCAAACAATAGAAGGCGTTATTTCAACGTAACAAAATTAGCGTCCACACTTACTGAATCTGTTTGCTCAGTAGGTTTTCACTCATTTACAGGTTGTGACTATAGAGCTTCTTTCTTGTATGCCACCTTGCAAAACTGTACTCTGCCAGAAACTGAAACGTGCAAACCATGTGTCTCACATTTGAAAAAATGCAAAGATGCAACAACCAGTTCAGTTTGGACCAGATGGACATGGATGGAAATAATTGTCTGATAACTGTTTGGACTTCAGGCCCGTACGCAGGGGGGTGTGACGGGTCCGTACGAACCCCCCCCCAAATTACAAATGGTCCACATTTCCAGGGGTAGAAAATTCAAGACACACTCTCGCTTGCTCCAAAAATCCATCCACCAAAAATGCTTGACCAATCAGAGCAGTTTCCAACTAGGACTGCCTCTAATTTGTCATACAAGCAAGGCTTTCTAATTCTAATACTTTTTGAGTAATTTACCCAAATTAATAACTCGCCACGTACAAAACTCATCTTCTCTCTCTATATAGGTTTCACTAGAATATCTTTATTCTCGTTTAAGTCTGCGAGTGCCATTTTCTGCCATCTAGAGGTGCCATAATCATAAATTTTCTTTTCCTCAACCCCAACCACGGTGGTGTCGGCTGAGGTGGGTGAACCCTGGCCAATATTTCTGTGAACGTCCCTCCCTGGACCACTTTATTTCGAATTCCTGAATCTGCCACGGCCCTATACAGTATGTTAAAGTCCCTATCTGGCCCAAAAGAGTGTGCACGTATTCTCTTAAAAACAACAACAAAGTGATTTACTGCTTTCCCTACCGTGTTCCCAATCAGATCAGTATAGGCTTATTTTTATGAATTCTCGATTTTTTACTTATTTTTTTACGTAAAGCGCTTGTCAATATTTGTTCATATTCGCAATTTCCATTATAATATAATACAACATTTACATTTGTGGTAAAAATTTAGTATTTTCAATACCCAATCATAAGTTTTTTCATTGTGCGCTAGACCTACATTTATTTCTTTTATGTTTAATTTTATTAATGTTTTATTTACCTGGTTCTATAAATTCTATCTATCTATTGACATATGCAGTGAAAATCTGAAAGAACACGTGGTTGGAAGCGGCACGTTTCAAATCTAGGCTATGAGTATGTCCAATTTGTAGGGATTTATTTTACTCCGACCTAAATTTTTTTACAATTCTTAAAATTTTAATCATATTAATGAACGTTAACCCGTAGCATAAACAATGACATTTTCACAGTGTTTCTAATTAGATTGATTTAATGTCGTATAGATCAGTTTCCTTAACATATCAAAGTTGATATTCATCGTTAGGCCATCAACATTTTAGATAGACTACTGTACAGAACATTTGAAAATAAGAACACTGAAGAGTGTTGTTCTCAAAACCAGTGGTGGATTGTTTTTAGCATTCCCCCCCCCCCCACCTCCAACATTTTGGTTCACTTTCCACATATTCGCACCCACTCAATAAAAATCCTGCATACGGGCCTGGACTTCATTTGGTATGAGGGACCACAGAGCCCGACCTTGATCAATTACGATGATATACAAGATTCCACAGATAGTGAAGATGATGATGATGTTATTTCACCATACAACTCATCCTCTGATGAAGATGATTATGATTGAAATATTGTAATTACAAGCCATGTGTTGTCATTTGGTTACAATAATGATTATTATCATTATATATTTCAGTAGTGCTGAGATACTAATTTCTGTTTTATATTTATTAACAATCACAATAATTATGTCAAATTCTGGAAATTAATGATAACAAGAAATATGATTTGATCATGTGAGATGTACATAACATTTTTTCTGTATTGAAAAAAATAATTCTGAGGTGTAACAAATATAATTTTTATATTCAAAGTATTTTCACAATTGATTTATATTCAAATATTTTTTTGAAATATTGAAATAATATGTAAATAAGAGTACAGATGATTTTAATCTAATTCTATAAAATTCTACTAAAATATTATAACAATTATATTATTAAAAAACAGATAATCTATTATAATAAATGTTTAATAAATATGTTTTTAATATGGAATGGGAATCGTATCTTTTTTAATTTATTATTAGCAAAGAAAATCACAAAAAACACTGTTTTGCATAAAAATACATAGATTTGTAGAGTTTATAAGCATATAAATAGTTTTAGTAAATAAAACCAATCCCAACAACTTGCGATTGGTTTTATGTTTTAAATAAACTTATTCTATATCAAAATATATTAGCTTACCATAGTTTTTATTTTGTTGTCTACATCAATAGCACACACACTCCACTGTTCTATTAAAGTCTGTAACTGTGAGTTTAATTTATGCAAATGTAATACTCTAATAGGCAAATGCATTGTTGGAGTATTCAGTGCTGCAGGGCTGTATAACTTCGGTACTTCTGGAGGCACACAATCTTGTAATTTGTAATCCAACACACTCTCCTTAAATAATAAAAAAAAATCATCAGACAAGTTCAATATTGATGAATTTGTGCTACTGGAGGGTATATGTTTGACGATTTGTTATGAGGCGCTATAATTTGTTTTGGTTAGCAGGGTAATTCAGTAGTTTGCCAAGACATGTGTATCCTCTCTTCCCATTGCATCCAACCAATAGAGACTTCATTACATTTTTAAATTTCAACCGTTGTTTCGGTATTTATCTGATGATTCTTTGATGAACTGAAGTAATAATAGAATCTTTTGCTATTACAGCACAAATATAACAGTAATTTATACAGATTTACCTAAGAAAGGATATTTATCTACCATCGAACTATGTCTACAGGCTTCTTAATCTGTATCTGTATTGCATTATAATTTTGGAAGCAGCAAAATAACTGTTAAAGTTCATCTTTTGCTAATCTCAATACTTTTATGTTACAGTATACAGGGAAGCCTTTCCAAATTAGCCGGAATCTGCTTGGTGTGTACCATAAACTGTACTTTCCGGACAAATAATGATAATAAAATAATACTAAAATAAAATTTAAAAAAAAAAATAGAAAGAACTGGGACAAATTAATTAATAAATGAATGAATGACCATAGTCAATATTTCTTTCCATGATTTTATATGAAAACAAATAAATATGGGCCTGTCTCTAAATGTGAAAAAAACAGAGTGCATGGTAATCTCAAAGAAATCAACCAACCCAAAATGCAACCTATTTAGCAAAAGAGAACAAATCAAACAAATTACAAAATTTCAATATCTTGGCTACATGATAACATCAGATGGTAGATGCACAAGCGAAATAAGAAAAAGAATAGGGATGGCCCTGTCTCTTATACACATCTATTTGATGGTGACATTATTGTATCTTGATACAAATTTAGGCCTGGTGTCACATTGTATCTTGATACAAATTAGGCCTGGGAGCGTTTCAAATTTTCCCATTGACGAAATTGTGTTGGATGCGCTGGGTTTGAGCTTCAAAATGATTACGCAATTTCATCACTAGAGCATCACTGTAAAATCAAAAATCCCAATTGTACCTAAACAAATTTAAGATTCATTTATTTTATTAAATGAAGATAACATGTAGGATTACTATATCACACAAAATTATGTTTTTTGTCATACAGTAGTAGAAACAATTACTTTTAACGCATCATTCCCATCAAATAGTTTGTTATAAACCTGATTTTATGCAATTGGATTTTGGAAAATAGAAAAATAGGCCTATTTCTCTTTTAGGAGTGAAACAAATCATGTAGTACCATTTAGTTTGTGGAATTGTTTACTTAAAAAAAAAATAATCTGATCATATCCCATTAAAAATTAACTAATGGTAATTCGAATCTGTTGTCGAATTTGTAAATCAAGGATAAAAAAAGCTAAATTCTTTCTTTTTTAAATTGATATTTGATATTTAAATTCTGTATTTTTGTTTAGGGACCGCCTGAAAAGCATCCCAGCTTAAAGTGTTGCCTCTGCTAATTCATTTTTAGTTAAACTTAGTGTAAAGCGTGAATGTTTTTTTTTTTTTATGTGTGTTTAGTCTTGTTAACGTTTTCAGGCAGAGCTATAAATTGTGTAAAAAACTATACATATTAGAATTACAATCATGCCTATTCATCATCAGTCATTTCTGGAATGATAATTACTTACTTAATAATAATAATACTTATAAGAGCATAACAATTAAAAAAAAAAATACTATATCATGGGTTGAGGTCCCCGAACGCAGAACCCTTTTTATGTTTGTTTTACTTTTATCAAAATAATTGGGCTTCGTTTTGGAATGGTATACAGTACAGTAGGCACTTTCTACCATTTAAAGTTTATTAGCGCCACCTAATTGGCTTTGTGCCCGGCAAAGGAACAAGTAATGCAATATTTACCTTCTCAATGCTCATGGAAAGGTGTATCGAAGTACAAAAGGACCTGTATCTCTGTTTCATCGACTATTCAAAGGCATTCGACAAAGTCAAACACAAA